TGGAAGATAGAACAATGAAGAGGCCGCTTGGTATTGTAGATTATGTTCTTGTTCGGGTGGACAAGTTCATTTTGCCCGCTGATTTCGTGATCTTGGACTGTAAGGTTGATTATGAGGTTTCGATCATATTGGGAAGACCTTTCCTTGCAACTGAGAAAGCCTTAGTTGATGTAAAAGCAGTGGAATTCACCTTTCGGGTGAGTGATAAAAAAGCGGTCTTTCATGTGTGCAAGTCAATGAAGCAGCCCAACAGTACTGAAGTGTGCTCTTTTGTGGATCTTGTCACGGCAGTGATAGTTGATGATACCAGTGCAATGATCAATGTGGAAAACCCTCTAGAAGCGGAATATTTCAATCTTTATGTAAATGAGGATGAAGGTCGGGTGGAGTATATCAATACTTTACATGGAATGGGCTCTTACTCTTATGAGCCTCAGAAGCTCTCTTTGGATCTTGAGAATATGAAGCCTCCACCAACAAAGCTATGAGTATGGATTATATACTTATTTTGTGAAACCAATCATTTTATATTTACCTAGTAAGACCCCAGGAGTGTGCAAGTCAGTAGATGACGATTGAAAGGAGTTATATGAATGTAGTAGTTTACAGATTCGGGTCATATTTTTATTTGAATCAATTTCATTAATTGTAGATAATTTGATATTATGAATTTGAGATAAGAAAGTATGAACTTCAAGTAGAGAAGACTATTGTATGATGATTCCTTTAAGTTGATGATTGAACCTGTGGTAGTAGCTTCCTGACATGAGAAACGTGACTTGAATTATTAGTCTCTAACTGATTTGAGCTTCCAACTTCAGGTAGGTATACCTTTGGTTCCTTGTTGCCCATTTAAGTTTCACTCTAGGTTTAAATTAATTATAAACCCCTTTGAAGTGCTCATCCGATTGTTGCTTCAAGTGTTACAATTAGGTAACATTTACAAAACCAAATTCGTTGGCAATTAAGTTGCTATTTATCATATTGTTGCTTCAAGAGAAGTTGGTCCAGTGGCGTCATTAGTGTGGCCTTAACAAAATTGTTGTTGCTTTGTTCTTCGATAATTATATTTTGCCAAAAGTAATTACAAAGTTAATCCTCCCATAACAATCTTCCATAACTTTAATCTTACAATAATCTCAAATATAGGAAAATAATTATGAACATTCGTAGCTTTGCTTTAGGCGCGATTAATAAATTATCGTGACTGTGGGTACGGTTCCCGTGATATAGTTATGATACCTAATTCCCAAATTCGTGTGTGCATTTCATGTGACCCGATTATAACAACCTTGAACATTAATAAAAATAAACATATCGCGAATCACGGGCGCATTTCATGTAGCGTGGTTTGCGGTGTGTCCCAAAACGGCAAGTATACGACAATCGTAACTTGTTCAAAAAATAATTCCATAAATCCTAAAAAGCGGTTAAAATAATTAAAGAGCGGTTATAAAGCTAAAAATGCACAATATGCTTAAAATGTGTAGTAAATCAGATAATAGGCCAATTATTAATAGTTTAAGCGATCGTGCTAGAACCACGGAACCCGGGAGTGCCTAACACCTTCTCCCGGGTTAACAGAATTCCTTATCTAGAATTTTTGATTCGCAGACTTTTAAATAAAGTCGAAAATTTCCTCGATTTTGGATTTAAAAATAAACCGGTGACTTGGGACACCAAAATAAACTATTCCAAGTGGTGACTCTGAAAGAATAAATAAAATAATCCCATTTCGAATAATGTCACTTAAATTGGAAAAACTCTCTTTATATCTCCTCGGGTGTGTAAAAAGGAGGTGTGACAACCCTCAACTCAAATGCATTATCATTAGCACCATGGCTATAGTGTGAAAATTATCAAGAGTTGGCTTAACTCATCAAGGAAACTCTTTTGTTACATTGGTCGTTGTGGAACCTAAACTCATACTCCTCAACTCTCCATAAGTAAACCTCACTTATAGATTGTACCACTCAGAACGGGGATTGTAGAAAATACACTCATCTCTCTCAAAGGAACGTCGCAAGTCCAGCTCTAATTACCATAAGCTTACCTTATGTGAGTCACCACTAATGTAAGCTCACCCAACTCAAGATCATATAGGGCTTTTGTGGGAATGTAATGAAGGTTTTTGGTTCAAGGTAGGACGTATTGGTCTAAGAAGGTTTCATTTTCCCTTAAGCACTTCATTTTCTTCATTTTGGCACACATTTTCTCGACTCTTTGAGTCATTTACTTCTTCTTTAGGGGTTAGAGAGACACACTGTCTCTCTTTCTTGTTCATTTCAATTCTTTTCTCCTTTCAAATTTTTCCATATTTCATCTTTTGCTTTCGTTGAATCCCTTCATTTCTTCTACATTGTTAATTTTTTTTTAATCTTTGGCTTTTCTTTCTTTTTCTTTTTCTTTGCCTTTCCTTTTCTTCATTTTGTACCTTTTATCACTTTTGCATTCCTCGTATCTCCCCCCAAACTTATGTTTTTGCCATGTACTAAGGAAAGATAGGGTACCAAGAGAGGATCATTTAGAACGGATAAAGGTTTGTATCATGGTTATTAAAAGAATAAGGGCTAAGGCTCAACGAGGTTGACTAAGGATAACATCATTGGTAGGCTATAGATATTTTCAAGTTTCAATTGGGATCAAGGAGAGCCTATAATCACTTCTCAAGCCGAGCTACACTTAGCATTTTACCTAGACAAACATTCAGGGCAAGTTCTAGACTCATTGGCACGGGACTTGGACTTGCAAATCAATACCTCACCACACAAGCTATAGGATTGCTAAAGAAACAGAGTCGGGAGCCCACAACAACCATAGCTAACACTACAAGAAAAGTGATCTTTAGCGAGGGAAAATCCAGTCGTTAAAAGCCCAAATATGATCGCTATAGGCCATTAACGACTGGGCAAAAACTGGTCGTCAGCGGTCACTAAATGCGCCGTCGTTAAAAGTTAACGACAGTATTGGAGGTCGGTCATTAAAGATTCTTTAGTGATGACATAATTTATGGTCATTATACCTACTCTATTGTGACTGAATTTTTCCCTCGTTGATTTGTCATCCGGTCATTAAAGCTCTTTAAAAGCAACTATAAATTTGATTACTATAATTACTTTTAGCGACCAGAGTTCCCCGTCGTTAATTTTATGTTACTTTTAACAATAGTATTTTTAATGGCCAAATTTATTTTCGCTAATACCTATTTAATAATTCAATCGTTGCTAATATGAATTTTAATAAATGCAATTAGATAATATCATAATTTTTCCGGTGTTTGCACAATAATATTCATTATTCCATATATTTTCACACACGTATCAGAAAAAATAATAAGTAATCAATATATATTCACATAAAATTAATATGTTAATTAGAAAGAACTAAAAAAACACATTACTAGAATATATACCCATCTAAACTGTATGACTTTCTCGCTATCAATTCCCAAAAGAGAGAAAATGAAATAGTAACATATGTACAAATGATAACATCCCTACACAACCACTAAGAAAGCTATAAAATTTATTATGCATCAACTTGCTTTGCACTTTCTTCAATGACGTCTTCATAATTCAAAATTTTGATATGCTAAAAGAACAAGTTCATGTCAGTTTAGCAAAAACTTCTCTAGCTACTTTATTTGAAAAATAAATGAACAACTTTAATCAGCATGTTGATTGAACAATTGAAGTAAATAAATCAAGCTTGGCCATTATAAATATAAATGATAAGAGATTTCCTGGAATTCAAATAACCGTGAGTGAAAAGTCCCCAAAAGCGAAACTACAGTCAAGTGTAAGAACCATCTCCGGTAATGGTGTGCCTTTGTTAACACTTTTTCTTTTTTTCCTAATACCAAAGAGGGGGAGGGGGCAGACAACAACAATGAAGAGACAAATTCCTAAAAAAAAAGAATCTTAAAAAGCAAACAAATCATATCAGTACACATAATTACATTGAGAAAAAATACCAAACAAACTAATTTATAAAATTTCTGTCATCTTTTTCCTACTACTGTTATGTCTATTTGTATTTTAAATGAGACTATCTAACACTAGTCAATATCAATAAAGAGTCGAAAAGGAAAATGAAAAATGGCGCAACTACATATGGTAGAGACACTACCATTTATTTTTGTACCTAGAAGTAGTTGCTACTAATTTTTTATATAGTGCTAATAAAATAATATGCTAAAGCATACAAGAAAGTTACACTTCTAAAGAACAAAATAGAGATCATCTGACTAGTTGACTGCTATCCACTAATATGCCAGTAGATTAGAATTTTCTAGATACTTGAAATAAGCTCATTGTCTATGCAAAAATATTTACAGAATTTTTATAGCACATTGTTGAGTGTAGAAAAGTATCAAAATTAGATAAAATATCATATAATCTTGTTGATTTAACCCAAAAGAAAAGGGAAAAGTTCAGCAAAGGACAAATAGATTCTATAAATGATCAAGAAAAATGGATTAAGAAATATAGAAGGCTTTCATAGTGAAGTAGGATGGTGATCACTCAGTTCATGAAAAGCAGTTATTTATTTATTTCATCCTTCAACAACAAAGAGCGAGGCACATGAGTTGTTGACATGAAATATAGAAGAAAGTTTTGTTTATTCATTTGATTAAGAAATACTCATCATATCATAAGTGAAATTATAATTTGCATAAAGAAAGATATGGCGGTAGAAAGTGACAGGGTGACTAGCTAAATAAATGAATATGACATATGATAATTGTAAAGGTTGGTAAAAAGTTTACTAACCTGTCAGATGCCTGTATCTGATTCACTTGAAGATGGTGTCGATAAAGGCTGACTAGAAAATTTGCTTGCAAGTTGTGCAACTGTACTCTCTAAGTTATCTAGGCGTCTTTTTAGTGATAGGTTTTCTTTTTGAGTTGCATTCAACTCATCCAACAGTGGAGCTTTAGAGGAGTTACCGTCTTTCAGCTCCTTAGCGGTTATTCCACCTCTAAATCCAATCACATGACTCTAGCATTGAGGTCCAAAGTACCTTTCTACAACCTCAATATTTGTAAGGGACGACTCAGATCGTACCAGCTCTTGAATTTCAGCCTAAAAAATTATAAGCTTTGAGATAATGCAATGTTTTTAGTCAAAGGAAGGGGTAAAATAAAATTTATCAATAAACATACATATTTTTCATTAGTTTCAGGTTCGACAAGTTTATCGTCGTTCTTATGAGTTTCAAAGAAAACAGTTGCCATATCTGGTGGATTACCATCTTTGCCTCCCTTCGCGTTTAAATAAACAAGTCAAACAAATCATTTAAACAAAGAAGGGGTTTCTTAACACAATAGCACGATTTACTTACCAGTTCATAAATGATCTTTCTGATAGGCTTGCTGCCCGTACGATGAGGCATAATCAACTTAGACCTATTCATTGAGTTTCTTGTACTTCTTTCCTATATTAACAACAGAACATAGAAGGTATGGTCTGCCGCTTAAAAAAACTAAGATTCTATAAATTGTTATGAAGCCATACCTTAAACTTTTCAGATAAGAAGTGCTCCTTGACCAACCATTCCCAATCACTCTTGTCGAATCCCTCCGGCACATCCTTTAGAACGTCGCGCAATGGCTTAGATTTTACAATCATGTGCAATGATCCTCTCCAATTATTCCATAACCTTTTCATATGTTTCAAGACATGATCTCTTTGACCATTTATATCAGCACTATCAAATTTGTCCTATAATGAATATCATCAAACATAAAACTCAAAGGGCTTTAACTAAACAAAAAAGAAAAATTCAACCAACAATATTAACAGCTATGTTGGAATATTGCACATACGACCAAACAATGAGTGCTGAAATGCAAATGATAACACCTATGTTAACATCAACAGGTCCACATTAGAAATAGATTCAGAAGATAGCCAGTGATTTGGCCAGTGTTAGGAGCATATAAGAAATGCAATATCTGTCATCACAGATAATCCCAGGTACATTACTGATTTTCAGAGGGCTTCGAAATGAAATTCTGCTGCGTGTCTGAGGCAAATTATCTAAACACTGTTAGATTGACTCCCAGTAGTATTAGCATGTTCTCATGCTCAATCTGCAGGTGATCTTATGGTGCAAGGAGAAGTATTTCAAAGCAGCAGATGCAATGTCAATGCACACCAAAAGCCCAAACAAACATCTTATGATGCAATTGTCTACAGAAAGATGAAACAGGATACACAAAGGTAATGGGTCTAATAAGGAGAGTTCAATTATCTAGTTGATGCTTTCGTACCTTTTCTACACTCTTTATGATTTTGTAATAACTGGATTCTTGTTTTGGATTATTATTCCATAACCTTCTCATATGTTTCAAGACATGATCTCTTTGACCATTTATGTCAGCACTATCAAATTTGTCCTATAATATTTTAAGAATATCATCAAACATAAAACTCAATGAGTTTTAACCAAACAAAAAAGAAAAATTTAACCAACAATATTAAATTAAACATTGAGCGTTACTAGTGACAAATTAATTGTTAGAACCAAAACACTTTAAGATGAAATCCTTCATCTTTTAAATAATAATTATTTTCTTTTGAATGTTATATGAAAGAATTAAACTATAATAATAATATTTTGGCTGTAGCCATACATGCCAGAAACGATGCCAACAACATTAAATTACTGTATCCAAAGATTAAAGAAGAAACAAAATACACCTTATGCCTGAATGGAGATAAAATCTCCCAAACATTTAGTTTAGTTTTTTACGCTGCAAAAGAGCTTCCTTTGCCTATCTTGATTTCATTCTTCCTTATTTCTTTTAACACACAAAATTTTAGTGATCTAACTTCAACCAAAGCAGAAATCTTCAAATGGCATATAGACTGAAATCTTATGTCGCAAAGCGACAATACACCTTAAGGAGGCCATGCCTCCATTCCCGGCGATATCATGCTGTAGATGTGCCGATCAAACTTTTATTGCTATTATTAAAATTAACAGCAATCAAAAAAATTAAAACTAAAAAGTCAAATTCTTTTCTAGCAGCAAGCATAAAGAGGCAAACATCCAACCTTTATTCTAGAAGTATCTGTGCTGCAAAATTAACTGCTCTAAAATATATTTTCTTTTTATTACTCTTAAACTAAAACTCAATGATTTAACATGATTATTATGTAAGATTATAAGGTTCAAAATTAATTTTTCTTTTCATTTGTGAAAGAAGAAAAGAAAAAGACAAAACAACAAAGTAATACTTTAAATTCTTACAGTAACAGCTTCCAACATGTAGTCTAGCTTATATTCTTCGATATCCGTCCATGAGTGTACGCGCAATGGATACATATTACGATCACGAACTAATATACCTAAGTGTCTCACAAATGTGGCTGAATGCTTCCCAACAGCTCGATTGTGGTAGAAAGTGACGCTCAACTTTTATCCAGCTTTGAGTCCTAGAACATTTTTACATCTGTTCTTTCCTCTCACTTTTTTTGTCTTTTCAGATTCACTTGGACCTGCTAATTTCAAATTTAAGTTAATCACAAAAAAGGGCCAGTCCAATAACAGCAAAAAACATATTACAAACTGAGATAGAAAAATACTTATTTTGCTTATTTGAGTGTCTTGCATCACTTCAACTTCTTGAGGAAGGGAAACATCATCTTCTAGTGGATCAAAACCAGGAGGTGCTAGATTCGTATGCTGAGCTAGCTCATTCAGATAAGAAGCTGCTGCATTACGATTTTTACTATTTCCAATCGGGAGTCTCTGTTCAGCATTTACCCTTACTGAACCCAAAGATCTAAAGCTTTGCCCTCGTCCCCTTGCTAAGGCACCTGGCACAACGTATGAATGCTTAACAGTCTTTGAAGTTGATTGCATTTCAAACTTCCGAGATTTTGATGGATTCATGTCAACCTAATACAACAAAAGAAAGAAGAGTATTATTAAGCTACCCCAACAAGTAAAATATTTCAGCAAGTTGTCAATAAGAAAATGAGAGCACATTCCGGCCTAAATGTATTAACTAGAAACAATATCTGGAAGATACAATATGCAAAATAAGTTTTATATTTCGACGAACTTCGATCTTGAAAGATGCTTCTTCAGATGAATCATCCTTATGTGAATGGCTTGAAAATAAACTAGAAGGTTGGCAGGCAACAAACATAGTTGTACACATGTAAACTAACCCCAAGTGGGCAAAAGAAATGCTCTAAGATGGAAAATACATTTTCTTATTCCAGTCTTCTATGTGAAGAAGAACACACACTGATATTATCTGAAGAAAATGGTGATGAATATATACAAATGTTGATCGATAGAGAAATTGCCAGTTTTGGACTCAGAGGTCAAAAATCTTCACATGTTACCAATTTTGACTGGATTCAACAAGCTCATTTGGCAGCAGTTCAGTATATTCTTAAAACAGGAGAATCATTTGGATTTAGATTCCAAACAGTTTATATAGCAGTGACATATTGTGACGGATTTCTTTCAAGAAGGTTTCTAGATGATTTTTGTAGGGTGATAAACAGTGGGCGGTAAAGTTACTAGCAGTGGCATGCTTATCTTTGGCTGCAAAAATGGAGGAATGCAAAGTGCCAACACTAACAGAATATCCCAGGGAAGAATATATTTTTGAGAGCGGAGTGATTTGGAGAATGGAGCTCTTGGTACTTAATACACTGGAATGAAGAATGGGGTGTATCACTCCTTTTAATTTCATAAATTATTTTGTATCAAGATTTTGCATAAATGATTCAAGGAAATGTGTGATCTCCAGAACTATGGAAATCATCTTTGGTGCTCTCAGAGATATCAAGTTAATGAGTGTGAGACCATCTGTACTAGCAGCAGCGGCTACATTATTGTTGTTGTTGAGTAGCTAACTGAGATTAATATAATGAAATAAGTCTGTATGTTCCCAACATATACAAGAAGTAGTGCTTCGAGTTATCTTTCGGCACTTTGTAATAGTAGATATACATAGGACATCAAATAGTTAAGAAAATAAACTGAATTTTCTATTTCAAAAGCTATCTAGCTGATTTTTTCCTATCGAGTTTGGGAGCAAAATATTTCTAGGATTTTCATTCTGTCCATACCTTATACAAAAGTAAGAGGGATAACACCATATTTATTCACATAAAGAGAACAAGGAGAAGGAAAATAACATACCAGGAGGATCCAAAATCAATGCATAACCTTAGCTTTATCGATATGACGATAATGATGACCCAGATAATTATATGGTTTTAATGGAACTGTATTTCTCCTAATTTTGCTTTAAAAATGTTTTACTTTTGCACACCATAATATAGACTTCTCCTACAATAATAATCTTATTTGAAATAGAAAGGCAACTAAAGTTGTGACGACCCAAAGGGTCATCACCTGTTTTCTTACCCATTATGTGCTTCCGAGGCCTTGAAAACCTCATTTAGAGTTGATTTGATTTGCGTGCACAGTCCGGGCGCGTAGCCGAAAAGCTTAAATATGAAATTCTGTGAAAAATGCTAAGTTTTGATATTAAAATGAATAAAATTTGACTTCGGTCATATTTTGGGTAAACGGACCCGGACCTGCGATTTGACGGTATCGGAGGGTCCGTAGGAAAATATGGGACTTGGGCGTATGCCTGGAATCGGATTCCGAGGTCCCAAGCCCGAGAAATGAATGTTTGAGTAAAATTATTTTCTGAAATTGTTAAGGAAAATTGAAATGAAAATTGATTAGAACGTGTTGGTATCGGGCCCGTATTTTGGTTCCGGCGCCCGGTACAGGTCTTATATGTGATTTAAGATGTTTCTGTAAAGTTTGGTTAAAATCGAACGTCGTTTGACGTGTTTCGGACTTGAATTCCTAAATTTGAACTTGATGGAGTTTTTGAAAAATTTCATTGATCTTGAGGTTTAATTCGATGTTCATGATGTTATTTTGGCGATTTGGTTACATGAATATGTTCGTAGAATGTTTTGAGGTTGTGTATATACTTGGGTTAGAGTTTCGATGGGTCGGGTGAGTTTCGAGTAGGTTCCGGGATGCCTTNCTCATTTTCTTCACTCCTTAACATCTTTTAACATGATTTCAACTTCAATCAATGATTTTCATGGAGGAAATTGGGTGTTTTGGGTAGGACCTAGGTTTTTCTAAAATTGGGGAGTTGAACCTTAATTTGAGGTCCGATTTCAAAACAAACCATATATTTGGATTTGTGGGGGAATGGGTAAACGGGTTTTGGTCCGAACCTCAAGTTTCGACCATGTGGGCCCGGGGGTGATTTTGACTTTTTGAGTAAAACTTTGGGAAAACTCATTTTCATGCATTGAAGTAGATTCATTTAGCACTTATTGATGTAATTATGTAACTTATGACTAGATTCGAGCGGATTGGTGGTGGAATCAAGAGGTAAAGCTATAATTGAGACTTGAGTGGTGTTCAAGGCATCGAGGTAAGTGTTTGGTCTAACCTTAACTTGAGGGATTAGGAGTGGAGTTATATTTGCTACTTGCTTCTTGTTGAGTACGACGTATAGGCATGGTGACGAGTATCTATACATTGGTGTCGAGCATGACCGTGAGTCTTAAATTGAAAGTGATTGTGTCCTTAAATGACATTTCAGATGCTTTAATTAATGATCTTTTATATTGCGCAAAGAATTGTTTAATCCTCGCAGATCTTATTTATGTTTGAGCATTGTCATTATTTGGGCCGAGTACAAGCTAAGTTAAGATTGGTTATAGCCGATTCTCCCTTGCCGGGATGATTGTTTCGATATCTTTGTTCCCTTGCCGGGAAACTATTATATTGCTTTTGTTCCCTCGCCAGGAGGTTATTATATCGCTTATGTTCCCTTGCCGGGATTTCTTGTAATTGTGTGATGAAATGGGAGCG